CCTTAGCCACTTGAGCCACAGGCGCTGAGCCAGAAGGATTACTTTTATCTGAATGGAGCTTATGGTCTGAGGTCTCTTTAAATGGAGTCAGGAAGGCTTCCTTGGGGAGTCGGAACTTGGAGATAACAGGTATTGATCCAGCAGACAAAGGAGATACCTTCCTATATAGTCTTTCAGTTAAATAAAGAAGGACTGGAGAATATATTTTTATGTTTATAACATTAACAAGCTTTCTTAAAATTCAGCTTTTAGAATATGAGTCCTTGGACCCTGATATTTCTGGTTATTCCGTTAATGAATAGAGCTTCAAATTGCCTGACTCCTAGATCTCTCAAGGTCTTTTTTTTTTTTTATTTTTATTTTTATTTTTTTTTTAAGGTCTTTTTTTAAACTCCCCTTGTTTCCTACTCATTCAAAGTCCAGGAAAATTGTTTAGCACTGCCTTTTGGAATTCAGTCTTTTCGCTACTCTTCTTTATCTACACTGACAGCCTATGTGTTTTTAACCAAAAGTAATTTTCTTTTTGCTCCAAATTAACATTTGTTTTCAAAGAGTAGCTGGGGTCTACAGAATGTATTCATCAGATATATGATAACTCTATTTTAAGAATAAATTAAAAAATAGAGGATATTACTCTTAAATTTCAAAGAGAAATACTTGGGGGACATTTAGCTAAAATAGCTAGGAACCGTTTTCTCTCTTCTTTGCATCTTCTACTATCTGTTTTTCGCTTGACTCAGTTAACTTTCTTAAAAGTTATTGGTGAAGATGACACTTAAAATATCTGTAATAGGAAATATTCTTGATGAAATATCTTGAAAATTTTCTATTTCATGTCTAAAAGGATGAAGAAGAATTTTCAGTTCTCGCCAGCTGCTTAGGACTTCTGCCAACGTTTCACCAAACAGAACATCCATTCATCAGTGCCTCTTGTCTGGATTGGCCAGTTCCAGCATTTGATATTATAACTCAGTGGTGTTGTGAGATAAAGTCATTTACTGAAAGACATTCAGAACAAGGAAAGGTATGTAAAGAGCGTAGTACTCACTTACCACAATGGCCATATGCTAATAGGGAAGGGAATAATGAAGAATTTTTATTACATGTCCTCTGTTCTTGGAAGCATTTATTAAACTGTTTAAGTTGAAAAGGTTGTTTACTTACGTAAATTTCACTTACAAGTATAAAAGCAAAAATACTTCAGTTAACAAAGATAAGGTATTAGTTGTTACTTTTAGTTTGTTTTGGGTCAGTTTTTTTTTACTATTTTAAGTAATCATTACACTAGACTTGGAAGATACTAAGGAATTTTAAAGTAGATATGGAATTGGGGTAGGG